GCGTGGTGGGCTGACGTCTTGCTTCTCTTGCTTGACGATCCACTTGGGGGATCAGAGCTGGTGTGGAGGGCAGTGGCGGGTGCAGGGGCGGGGGAGGGCGGGGGCGCGTGGAGGTAACCCCCGACTCGTGCTGCCATTGCCCGGCTCCCTGTCACTCAGCCTGCGCCCGGCCCGGGATTGGCAGCCTATCCCCGTTACGCACTCGCCTCGCGTTCACATACTCGGGGAGGGCACTAGAAAGGTGATCAATCTTCATCAGGCTACATTTCCAATCACCTAAACAACCGAGCAAGACAAGCCACTCCGACAAGGTAAATCGCTTGATTTATTTAGTTTGCAAAGTGCCTCTACAGGACTTCCCCAGCCCCCATAGCCTCCACGTTGTACCGGGAGTGCAACGGCAACCGCGAGCCACCTCCCAACTCTGCCTCTCTCGCCCCCACGCTCCCGGTTCGGCCCCTCGGCGCGGTCTTGGGTGAGGGAGTGTCTCGGGAGCGTGTGGGACTTTGCAACCCAAGTGTCCAATAAAGTGAAACCTGGAGGAACAAGCACAAAGCCAATGGAAAGATAGAGATGGGAGGAGGGAAATTAAGGGAAGAAAGAATGCGGGGGTCCTAGACCAGCTGCCCGGCCCGGTGGGTAATTCCTGTGCGGATCTGTTTTGCAGGTTGGCTGCCCGGCGGGTCTGTGCGAGGGCGCGAGGTAGATGGTGAGCGGCCCCGGCAGCTGAGGGCAGGTAAGGAGAAAGCCGCGGGGCCGCCCGGGACTCTGCTGGCGCGCGGGTTGCTGCGACCTCCCCCCTCCTCAAACGAGCTCGGGCTTCCCAGGTCCCTGTCAGGTGGGCGGGGCTGGGAGGCCGCCTGGCGCCCCTCACGGTTCGGGGAGGACCCCTGAGCGCTGCTGTGGCCCGGCGTCTCCTCCCCCGCCTCCTCCGAAGTAAGTAAACTGAAGTGCTAAGTTTGAGGAAAGTCTTTGAAAACTCACGCTGTAGCCCCACGGAATCCGCACGACTGGAAAGCCAATCTCCTTTGGCTCGAGAGCCCCGGGCGTTTCCCTCCCAGACCCCTGGCTATTTCCCCTCAGTACCCTTGCTTACGAACTTGGGTCCCCTTGCTCAGGACCGGCCTCTAAGGATGGGAGCGGGCGGCTTCCTTAACTTCTCTCCCTAAACTCCTTAGCCCCGTGCTTCAGGCCTGCTTTGAGTTCCTGCGAAGCGGGGTGAAGCGGCAGGCCCTCCGGGGCTCCAGCCTACACTTCCTGACCTATGAGAGTGGTGCCTCAGGTTTGGGGCCACTGGGAAAGTGAGGCTTCGATCTAACCACCCGGGTCTGCTCGAGCTATGCTGGCAAGGCCTAGTGCTCTGGTCTCCATCGGGTCCTGGGGCCGCGGGTTCAGCTAGTAGGGTAGGCAGGGAGCGTCGGGGATCTACTACGCTCTGGCTTCCCAAATCCGCGAGGCTCTTTGGGGAGCTGAGCAGGTCGAATTTCAGCGGCTGCGGGGACCCTATTGTTCGCAGCCAGGACTGGGCAAAAAGCAGGCCCGGCTTGCGTTTCGAGGAAGGGCCTGCGCGGTGGCCAGGTGCCCCGACCTCGGGCCGGGCCTTGGAACCGCCATCTCTGCAGAAGCCCTTCTGCGTCTCTCGGCCGCTTCTCCGGGACTTGGGCCATAAAAGCGGTTAAGTTGTGGTGGGAATCAGGGCGCCAATCTTGCAACCAGTGGGCACCGAACAGTCAACTGAAGGAATGACTGTGGGCTGTAGGGCTGGGGCCCAACCGCGGAGACATCAGAGGTAATGAATTGTCATAAGTGGGCAGCAAGTCCCTGAGAGGGCGAGGTGCAACCTAACCTGCCACAATGCCTCCCCTTGGCCCTGTGGAATCTCTAGCTTTTCGTTCAAAAACGTGAAACAAAACGAAACAACCCCTGGTGCTCTGGGGTGTGAGGTGTCCCGCCCGCTGCGCCAGTGAACCTTTGCTTGTAGTGAGGTCGGCTCCCGGTGGACTCAGAATTTTGCCTAGACTCGGGATACGGTCACATTTTGAGTTTGGGGCTTTGACCTCTCCAGCCTGACCTGACTTTTAACCTTTTCTGGATCCTACCGACTCCCTGCGAGCGTCCTCAGCCCTTTCAAGCCACAAAAGAGGCGATGACAATCCCCAAAGTTTACTTTTCGAAGCACGGTTTCTGGGCCTTGTAAAGCCAAGTTATTTCCTGTGCTGTTCCATAGCCTGCACTCTCCGCAACAGTATAAATTCCGAATGACGGTTTCCCTGTGTCTCCTGCCTCCATAGGGCGGCCCCCATACCAACAGAGCTCGAAGTACTGCGCGGTGGGAACCCCGCACTGCGCCTGGCCCCCTGGATCCGTCGGGGCGCCTTCATCCGGCTGTTAGCATGATGTCTTACCTCAAACAACCCCCATATGGCATGAATGGGCTTGGCCTGGCGGGGCCTGCCATGGACCTACTGCACCCGTCTGTGGGCTATCCGGGTGAGCAACTGCCTTCTCCCCGACTATGCATATCTTGGTATCTTGGGAACCCCCCCAACCCTTCTGGTTGGAGTAAACTTTTTCCCCACTGAATAGGCGCTGAAATTCAGTTGTCTAGTCTGTTTACAATGAAGGGCACACTGTGGGTGCTCAGAGCAGAGTTGCGGGTCAGTGCGGTGGGTCAAGGCAGCAAAAACGCATAGCCTGTGTCCTCCTGCCTGGGACACACCATAACCTGTCTCCTGTTGTGATCCCACCACCAGCACAGAACACATTTACCCATGGGGGCCATTTCCCTTGGTGACTTTGGGGCGGAGGGAGGTGCATGTGTTGGTCTATTTCTTTCACTCCCGACTCCTAATGAGGAATCTGAGTGCGTGCTAGGCCCCAGTGAAGATCCCAGCTTTCCTTTAAGAGGAGCTTTGGTCTGAGCTGAGGAAGGGGGGTATTTTCCATCCCTAATTAAATTACCCTCTTGCACTGCTTCATCAACTTTTGCATTGCTGCTGTGGATGACTTGAGCCACATCTTTGCTTTCTTTTTAGCTCCCACTCCATCCCCACCCCCATTTATTCCTTCCGAAAGTGTTTTCCAGGTTGTGTTTCTTCACACGCCTTCCCGGTCCTGCAACCAGGGAGTGTGTTCAGTGAAGGAAGGAGATTGTATAACTGCTTTTCCTTCTTAACCTCTAAGAAGCCGGGCAGGGGGCTGCCCTGGTGTCTTGGACACTGGCTTCCATATGCTCTTCTCCCACCTGTGGCCTCAAGGGCTTGCCCTCCCCCTGGGAATTCATTTGCTCCTAGCTCTGCGTTTTTGTTGTTGCAAGAGTGTGGCTCAAGGCCTACCATGGGCCTGTCCACATCCTCTTGTGCCGGTCAGTGTGGCCACCGGTGACTAGAGGCACCCCTGCATGTCCCCTCAGCCACCCCGAGGAAGCAGCGACGGGAGCGCACCACCTTCACACGCTCACAGCTGGACGTGCTCGAGGCGCTCTTCGCCAAGACTCGCTATCCTGACATATTCATGCGTGAGGAGGTGGCGCTCAAGATCAATCTGCCTGAGTCCAGAGTCCAGGTGCGCGCAACTGGGGTTTCAGGGTTAGGGTAGAGGCGCTGGGGCTGAAAAGAGGGGTCTAGAAAGGGTAGTCCAATGTTGGGGGTAGGCTCACAGACTGGGCGAGCCCCTCTCAGACTCCCCCTAGCGCTGTGCCTGGGCCTGGAAGAGCCGGCAAAGTTAAAGCAACTAGTTTAGAGTCCTGGAACCGGCCCTTGGTCCCTGGCCACCTTCGGTATCCAAAAGTCCTTTTTAGGATTATGGGAAGACAAGCAAGTCTCCTGAAGGTAAAGTGCCCTGAGGGCCCAGCACTTGCCCCTGCTTCTTCGACTGCGTCAGGATTTGGCAGTTTCCTTCGGGGTCCTGAATTCTGCCTCCACCCTTGCCTTCATCCCGGGAAACCTGGAAAAAGAAGCACGGCGCTTGACTGGAGCCTGGTGCGCTGTCTAGGATTGCGCTCCACGGTGGTGCCTGTCTGATTAGATGCTTCATTTGCCTGGAGAGGATGCCGAACACAAAACCCGGCTACCGGCTTTGCTGTTTGGTTCCCCCAACCCCCCCCCCCATGGACGGCTCCCAAAATGCTGCCGGGATTATAACTCAGAACTCTCCTCAAGGGCTTTTAATCTCGCCTTCCCTCCCGGAGGCTGGAGAAAGAACCAGGAGTGCCATGTACCGGGGCTTCAAGAGGAGTGGGAACTTTATGACTAACACTTGGTTACCCACGGAGCCAAGAAGCCAAACGAAATCCTGCCCATGCTTCAGTGCTGAGTCCGCTGAGCCTGTGTTCCACCTCCAAGCCTTGCTCCTGATCTCACCCAAATTCTCGCCCTGCCTAGGAAGGGGTCTCCACTGGCTCCAGCCAGACTTGGTGACTGGGCCGCACTCTGCGGCCTCCACTGTGTCCTTCTGCTGTTTCCCCAGTGCTATGCATATGAGACAGGGCCTCTAGACACACACCGGCTGCTGGGAAGCAGCCAACAGCAGCAGTTTAGAGATGGCTGAACTTCTGGCTGGACTGACGCAAATGTTCCACCCTTGGGCAGAGTTGAGGTGGGGGTGGGGAGGTGCAAGTCTCCACTCTGGAGACGCCAGAGGAGGGTCTTTGAGGAAAAGGAAGGGGGAGAGTGGAGGAACTGGAAGAGAAGGGGCAGGGTTTGGCCTGGCCAGAGGTGGGGAGGGGCAGAGGCCCGAGTAGGAGAGAGATGCCAGAACCGAGGCTGGGTGGTGTGTCCAGAGGGCGGGGAAGCAGCAAGTCCTGCTTGCCCTCTGACGCCCTCTCCCCCACCGCTCTGATGCAGGTGTGGTTCAAGAACCGCCGCGCCAAATGCCGCCAGCAACAGCAGAGCGGGAGCGGGACCAAGAGCCGCCCAGCCAAGAAGAAGTCGTCCCCGGTGCGGGAGAGCTCTGGTTCGGAAAGCAGCGGCCAGTTCACGCCACCTGCTGTGTCCAGCTCCGCCTCATCTTCCAGCTCTGCATCCAGCGCCTCCGCCAATCCAGCGGCTGCAGCAGCAGCAGCGGGCCTGGGCGGGAACCCGGCGGTGGCAGTTCCGTCGTCCTTGAGTACACCGGCTGCCTCATCCATCTGGAGTCCAGCTTCCATCTCACCAGGCTCAGCGCCGGCGTCGGTGTCTGTGCCCGAGCCATTGGCCGCGCCCAGCAACGCATCTTGCATGCAGCGCTCGGTAGCAGCAGGCGCCGCCTCAGCTGCAGCCTCTTACCCCATGTCCTATGGCCAGGGAGGCAGCTACGGCCAAGGCTACCCCGCACCCTCCTCTTCCTACTTTGGTGGCGTGGACTGCAGCTCATACCTAGCGCCCATGCATTCGCACCACCACCCGCATCAGCTCAGCCCTATGGCACCCTCCTCTATGGCAGGCCACCATCACCACCACCCGCACGCGCACCATCCGTTGAGCCAGTCCTCAGGCCACCACCACCACCACCACCACCACCACCACCAGGGCTACGGAGGTTCGGGGCTCGCCTTCAACTCTGCCGACTGCTTGGATTACAAGGAGCCTGGAGCCGCGGCGGCATCTTCGGCTTGGAAACTCAACTTCAACTCGCCCGATTGTCTGGACTATAAAGACCAAGCCTCTTGGCGGTTCCAGGTCTTGTGAACCCAGGAGTAGGAGGAAGAGGAGAAGAAACGCAACTACCTGCGCCCTCTGTGGTCCCTGTCCTGTTGCTGCTGCTGCACCTCCTTTGCCTCGGCTTCTCCAGTCCTGAATCTCATGCCCCCCAAGAGATGCCCATCGCCTGCACTGCTGCCCTCATCTTTGTGCCACTTGCTTGGGGGAAGTGCAGATCCCCTACCCCTTGGATGAGGGGACCGGTGCTTTGGCTTGGCGCACAAGTTCTATATGGGAGAGGGGCTGTGTGCTCCCCTGCCCAACCCCTAACGAACTCCTAAGTCACCCTCTTCCAATCTTTCTGGACAGTTATGCACTTGCAGCCTTCAGAGGCTCTTCTCTCTGACTCGCTGTTTGAGCCCGACACGTTTATTTATTCTTTCTGGACACTGGAGTCACTAACTGGCGTGTGTCTGCCCCTTGGAGTGCACCCACACTGCTCCAAAGCAAAACCACCACCAAGTATTTTTGTTGCTCAGACTGCCACCCCTTCAACTGCCCTCAACCCCCGCTCCCTGCCTGCAGGCCAGAGCTACCCGGCGGCCTCCTTCCAGTGGGATGTGCCAGGGCGAGGCCGTGGGACGAGCGCCCCCTCCCCCAACCTCTTGCGCACAGCCCCACCCCTGCGTTGAACTGGCTCAAGCTTCCGCCTTGGCGGGAATGCTGTACATAGTCAGGTCCGTTCCAGGGACCACTTAAACTTTTTAGTTGCTGTTGGTTGAACTGAGCATATCTTGTTTTAGCGCCCAGGAAATAGAACTTTAAGATATATACAGCATATATATATAAATATATACACATATATATAAAACAAAAGCAAAAAATATTTTCCCTCTTCCCTCTTCCTCAAACGATGGCGCTTTTACTTTTTCAGTTGTTGCAAAGCTGCCCTGCCCTCGCACACCTTCCTCTGTATTTATTAAAGAGAACCTCATGGTTCCAGGAAGCTCGGCGCAGAGGAATGGGAGGTCCCGGGAGCGTGGAGGAAACAGCCGAGTCAGGGTGCAGGAGAGCGTGCTTAGAGGCAACGGAGGGCACAGGACTAAGCCCTTTCGCAGGCCGGTCTAACTAAGCACAGGGTCGTAGTTACGGTTTAGAGACCAAAAACAAAACAAAAGTTAAAAAGACAACCTTATGAAAAAACAAAACCCAGGCCCCAACCCCAGGTCCAACTCCTCAGTCGGCTTCTCTCTTTACACACTCTGTTTTGTCTAGTGAGTTTTTAGTGCACCTTCATTCTCGAAATCCGCGGAGAGTCCGCGCCTGTGTATTAATTTTGGCTTTGGCCGTTTTGTCCAGTAGGTGGGAAAGTAATTTGTAAATTTGATTTGTCCGATGTGAAGATCACAAATTACTTGTTGAAATGTAAGGCAGTCCCTCTCCTCCCTCCTTTATCTACATTATTTCCCGAAAATAAATGCAAATTAATGAATGGTTTGTCAGTGTTGCTCTTCTGATTCCAGCCCCAGGTCCCGGTGGGGGGGGGGCTAGAAGGAAGGAGACTCCGTGTTAATAACTAGCGTGTTAATGGCCTGTGTGAAGCTGGAAGCCAATGGATAGGGCGGGAGGATGTGGCAACAAGAGCCCCCACAAAGTTTCTCCGAGGGACCTCCCCTCCCAGGCAGTCCAGTCTCTCCCCCGAGGCGTTTTGACCCTGTATCCCCTCTCGCAATCCAGGACAGAGACAGGTGTCAGGACTCAATTCCCGAAGCAATTCCTTTCTCTTCAGAGGCTGGAGCCTGGCACTGATTTCTTCACCCTAATTGCCTGCACCAGAAAGAGGGGGAGGGGTGGAGGGTCGGGAGGCGGGAAAGGATAGCTCTGTAAAGCTCTCTGAGCTGAGCCAAAAAGGAAAAGAAAACAAAACGACAAAAACCCGATCCGTGTCTTGCATGTTGGCAGCAAACAACCTTCTTTTCTGCTGAGCTGTCCCGGGTGGCTTCACGGCGGCTGGGGGATCCGAGTCATTCCTTCCACGTGCTACGATGTCCCTCTAAACCCTCAGCCCTCTCTGCCAGAAGTAGCCAAGTTATCTTTGTTCTTACCGCGAAGAATCTTTAAAATGCAAACACAAAATCTAGAAAAATCGACAAGAACCCATTTCACTTTGGCAGGGGTTTGCAGCAGGGGTTGGAAAGGACCCTTCCACCTTCCCTGAGGGAAGACCCAGTTGTGGGGGGAAGAGGTGGGGTGACCCCCCAAATCCTCGAGTCCTGAGTTGTCCAGACTGTTTGGTTTGAAACCTCCTGGGTGTTAAGAATAACAAGCCGCTCAACTTGTCCACGGGCGGGAAGGAATTAAGGGAACAACGAAAAGTTTCCCGCGACGTGACCAATACATTCTATTCTTTCTATTCCGTGTGAATACCGAGAATACAACGCGAAGCCGGGCTCGGAGAAGGACCCCCCTCTTCCAGGGTCCTCCGCTGAGCCAGAATTCGGCTGTGAGCCCCTAGGAAAGCCTGCTCGCTCGCGTCCTCACTGCGGGCTGCGTAGGCCCGGCTCGGGCGCGCTCTCCCCTCCATAAAGCCCATCATCCCCCACGCCGCCAAGGCCCGCGGGAGGGCGCAGCCGCGGCTCCTGGCCCGGCGGCGTCGCTCCGGGGGACAAGGCAC